AAGTTATTAGACTTTAATGTAAGAGATTATCCTCTCGGAAACAAGCTGTTTCAGAAAACAAAGGAAAAGCCTGCAATTTATCCTATGAAACCTCATTCCAAAGCTGATAAAGACAGTACAATAAAAGAGAATTACGGGCTTATTTAACTTAGGAACATTCATGTGGAAATCCTAAGTGAAACATTAGTTAGCTAAATCTATCAGTATAAAGATAAATAAAATACCCATACCAGTGATAAGGAACCATTCAGGGTATCTGAATCCAGCTTAACTAGGGATATTAAATAAAACCCCATAAATGGCCTCATGTTGGTTTTACAAGGGTTAATTTCAGTGTAGGGCACTTTGCCAGCAGGTAGGCTCTATGGGGTTAGACCCTCTATGCAGTCACCTTTCCAGGTGTGCTATCGGTGCTTTTCCTCTCAGGGCTCATGTGCTGGTTTACAGAACTCAGTCTCATATCCAAAGTCCTTTATTTGTCAATGTTTGCAGCAAATGTGGTATAATTTGCCTTGTTTCCACCAAGTTCTTTTGCTCTAGCTTTTCTTCTTGTATTTTCTTTTTCCCCTTAAAGGCTGAATTGCACAAACGTTGAAAATCATGTATAACACCTCTTCGTAAGGATATTCCTAAGAGTGAGATGTGTAATAATTTAAAAAGAAAATTCCTTAAAAAGAGAAGATGAAAACTATTATACAGTTAACATAGAGAAAAAGCCTTGTCAGATTATATTCCTAAAATGAATTTTAACTATTGAAGGAATTGTGTCATTTTAATGGTATTTGGTGCCATTATAGTAAAAATAGATCTTATTTTGATGCTGAAAATATTTAGAGTATCTTATTGAAATTAATAGTAACTATTACTTAATGAGAATTCACTTTCATAATACAGGTTTAAAAAAAAAAGATAAATTCCCCACATAAGGTGAAGTAATCTTGATCATGGGACCATATGTGGTTTGTCTAAAGATCTTCAAAAAAACAAGGAAAAAAAAACCTCTCAGTGGAAATTCACTAGATTCCCATTAAGGAATTCAAGAAAAAGTAATGCTTATTCTCAGAGATGCATAAAAGTATTTGATAAGGTTATTTATGTTTATAATAGCTATTTATGATAAAACTCTCAAAAAACTAGAAATAGAAAAAAAAAACATTCATCTTAAAAAAAAAAAAAAACAAAACTATCTGCCAAAATTCTGCAGCAGTCATTTTACTTAAGAGTGAAAATTTAGAATTGGGAGGGAGACAAACCATAAGTGACTCTTAATCTCACAAAACAAACTGAGGGTTGATGGGGGGAAGGGGGTTGGGAGGGGAGGTGGGATTATGGACATTGGGGAGGGTATGTGCTATGGTGAGTGCTGTGAAGTGTGTAAACCTGGCGATTCACAGACCTGTACCCCTGGGGAGAAAAATATATGTTTATAAAAAATAAAATTAAAAAAAAAAGAGTGAAAATTTAGAAATCGTGCTTTCAAGATATGGAAATGAAAGGATGACCACTGTTATCCCAGGCCAGAACATAAAGATGAGAGGAATTTCCAAATATAAGAGCTTAAAAAGACACAAACTGTCATTATTTGCAGATCATAGGATATCTTCTTTAACCTAGCAAACTGAGAGATTTTGTTCTGAAATACGGACCCATAGATCTAAACACTGGGTCAATGAAATTTTACCAGAAGTTCCCAAATTGTTCTCCTAAATTTGTCACTTATATAAGCAATGTATAAATGTTCTTGAAGTCAAATATTTGCCCCCAAATTATAATTTTTATAATTCTGAATTTAATGTATATGATGCGTATGACATCTCTGTCACTGTGATTTCAGTGTTCACTTACTTCGAAGCTAATAATGTTGAGCATCTTTTCACATATATCAGCCATTCAAGTATCATCTTACAGAAATTGACTATTCCTGTCTTTTTCCTGTTTCTCTGTTCGATTGTCACTTCTTTGCTTTGAAAAGCATTATGAGCATCGGGAAAGAATTCTTTGACTTTACTGATTGGATATATAGTTTATGCCTTGCATTTTTACTTTGTTTTAGATTGTCTGTTGTTGCATTAAAATTAAAAATTTTAATAGGGTCCAAGATGGCAACATTGCAAGACTCTGAATTAACCTCCTCCATGAACACACTTAATCTACTCTTACACATAGAGCAGTTATTCCTGGAGAAGTGAGGGCTGACCCAACAGCTGCTGCACAACAAAGGACAGAGGACCACATACAGAATAAACAGGAGAGAGGAAGACATTGTTCCATTGTTAAATGGAACCCCACTCCCTGATGCCCTAAGCTGTGGTGAAGAGGGGTAGTACTGAGGGACTCAGAGAAGATTCCCCTGCTGGGAGCACAGAAAAAAAGCTGTGGTTTAAATGTGCAACTAGAATATAAAAGAATAAACTCTCCACCCAGTGATGGAAGGGTAGGAAGTACTGGTAAGCACCACTGTTTATATTCTGCCTTCACTCTGGTAACACAGATAGGAACAGGTTTGCCCCTAGCTGGCCTGACCGTTCAGTGAATCTCAGATCTTTCTTCCATACCAGCTCCAGATGCCCTGGGACATGGGGGGTGGGGGAGGGGAGGGAAGGCACAGTTAAAAACAGCAACTAGAATATAAAGGAACCTGACTCTAATTCTGCTGCAGAGGAGCTGCTGGAATCCTTTTCAGGGTCATAGGGGCAGGCAAGTGCCATTGCTTCTTTCTCCTCACCTTGATAGCACAGAGGGAAGCAGGGTCTAGACACCAGGGCTAGCCTGCCATCTCAGCCAGCCCTAAGACCCCAGCCCCCACCGGCCTCAGCCATCCCCCAAGGAGACCCCAGAAGGCAGCCCCAGCATTACATGCTTACTTACTTGTATTGTATTGCTGTCAATTTCTCCTTTATGTCTGCTAATATTTCTTTTATGTATTTAGGTGGTTCTGTGTTGGGTTCAGTGATATTTACAATTGTTATATCTTCTTGTTGGACTGAGACCTTTATAATTGTGTAATGCCCTTTGATTTTGTTATAGCCTTTGTTTTAAAGTTTATTTTGTCTGATTTAAGTATGCAATTCCAGCTTTTTTTCCCCAATTATATTTACATGGGATGTGTTTTCTGTCCCCTTCAGTTCCAGTTTGTCTGGGTCTTTAGGTGTGAAGTGTCTCTTGTAGGCAGCATATAGATGGGTCTTGTTTTTTTATCCATTCGGTTACCTTATTTCTTTAGATTGGAGCATTTAAACCATTTACATTTAAAGTAATTACTGACAAGTAGTGTACGACTTTTATTTTCTTAATTGTTTTCTGGTTGTTTATGTAGTTTTTCTCCTTTCTTGTTCTCTTCCTTCATGGCTTGATGGCTCTCTTCAGTGTTATACTTGGATTCCCTTCTCTTTATCATGTATCTATTATAGAGTTCTGGCTCGTGGTTACCATGAGTTGATAAATAATACCCTATACATATAGCAGTGTATATTAAATTCATGGTTGATTAGTTTATACACATTATAAAAGCTACACTTTCATTCTCCATGTTTTATGTATATGATGTTGCATTTTCTATCTTTTTATGTTGTGAGTGCCTTCATTTTTTAGATTTATTTCGCTATTTTGGCCTTATAATCTGCTTTATGAGTGATTGATCTGTGAGTGATGAGTGATGAGTGACCTTTATTGTATATTTACTTTAGCTCATGAAAGGTTTTTTTTTTCATAATTTTCTTACTTCCAGATCTGGCCTTTTCTTTTCCACTTAAAGAAGTCCTTTTATATTTTTAAGGCTAGTTTACTGATGGTGAGCCTCTTTAACTTTTTTTTTGTCTGGCAGATGCTTTATATCTCCCTTCCATTCTGAACAATAATCTTGCCAGTTAGAGTATTCTTGATTGTAGTTTTTTTTTTTTCTTTTTCAGCAGTTTGAATAGATCATGTTACTTTCTTCTGGCATACAAAAAAAATGTTTTTTAAGGTTTTATTTATTCATTTGAAAGAGTGAGAGAGAGAGAGAGAGAGCGCGCACAAGCAGGGGAAACAGAAGAAGGAGAGGGAGAAGCAGACTTCCTGCTGAGCAGGAAGCCTGATGTGGGACTCAATCCCAGGACCCTGAGATCATGAACCAAGCTGAAGACAGATGCTCACCAACTGAGCTATCCATGCACCCTGGCATACAAAATTTCTGTTGCCAAATTAGTTCTTAGCCTTATGGACTTATCTTAGTAAGTAATTATTTCTCTCCTGTTGCTAAGATTCTCTCTTTGTCATTAACCTTTGAAATTTTAAATGTTATGTGTGTTGGGGTGGACCTCCTGGGGTTCATCTTCTTTGGAGCTCCCTGCTTCCTGGACCTGGATGTCTGTTTCTTTGCCAGGTTAGGGAAGTTGTCCGCTATTATTTTTTCAAGTAAGTCTTCTTGGTCTCTTCTTCTTGTGGCACCTTAAAATGCAAATGTTAGTACAGCTGATGTTGCCTCAGAGATCTCTTAACCTGTCATCAATTTTTTTTTTAATCCCTTTTTCTTTTTGCTGTTCAGCTTGGGTGCTTTCTGCTACTTTGTCTGGACCACTGATCTCCTCTTCTGCATCCTCCAATCTGCTAATGATTCCCTCTAGCGTATTTTTCATTTCAGTTATTTCTTCAACTTTGATTGGTTTTTATATTTTCCCTCTTTGTTGAAGTTCCTGCTGACTTCTTCCACTCTTGTCTTTATGACCTTTACTCTGGATTGTTTTTCTGGTAGGTGGCTTATCTCCATTCTGTTTAGTTCTTCTTCTGAGTTTTTGTCTTGTTCTTTCATTTGGAACACATTCCTCTGTCACCTTTGTTTACATTCTTGTGAGTTTTCATCCCCCCATGCGTTGGACAAATGGCCTTGTGCAAGAATACCCCCTGCATAGACTGCATATACCTGGTGGCTTGGCCAGCTGGCTGTGATTGCAGCCAGCACAAGTTGGGAGACTTGGGACCCTCTACACTGGGGCCGCCATGGTGGGATGCCTGGAGCCAACATGGGCATGGCCTGGAAGGTCCAGGGCACTCTGCACAGAAGCACTCTGGTGAGACAACTGAAGTGAAGCAGGCAGGGGGTGGGTAGGTCATGGGATACTCTATGTAAGGGGCATCCGGGCAGGGCAGCTGGAGCCAAAGCAAGTATGGAATGGGTGGCACCAATGTACTTCACTCAGGGGGAGCCTGACAAAATGGCTGGAGCTCAAGTCAGTATAGACAAGATGGTCTAGGGACATGCTGTGCAGGTACTCCCTGATGGGACAGCTGGAGCTGAGGTAGGTAGGGGCCACAAGGTCTTGGGGAAGTCTGCACTTGGGGGGGCTCTGGTGGGACAACTGTTGCTGAAGCATATACAGACCTGGGGTGTTCCAAAATGCTCTGTACCTCTGTCATCTTGGTGAAATGGCTGGGGCTGTGGTAGCACTGTTCAGGGGTGTCCTGGGGCATGTAATTCTGGGCCTGTCTTCTGGGGCCTTCTTGGAGGACAGCTGAGGCTGGTCAAATAAGGTCCCCATCTGAGATTCCAGGTGGATATCAATTTTGGGGAGACAAAATTCAACTCATTATCTTATATCAAACAATTTGACCAACCTTTCTTATTACTTCTAATAATTTGTGGATTATCTATGTGGATTTTTATATTATCATGAAACAGACAATTTTCTTATTTTGTTTCCTCTTGCCTTCCCCCCACCCCCTCCTTTTAGGTCTTCCTACTTTTACTACAATCCCAGGAAAACACTGAGTAAAAGTTGTGGTGGAAGACCATTTTAATTTCTTCCTAACTAGTATAAATTCTTCTAAAACTTTACAGGTAAGTGTAATGTATTAGATGTAGGGTTTTAATAAATATCCTTTATTATACTAATCAGGTTTCTATTTCTAGTTTGCTGAGATGTTGTTTTTACATTGTTTTATTTTTTAATTATAAATGAGTGCTGCATTTTATTGACCTTTTTTTCAGCATCAAGTGAAAGGATCACATTTCCTTCATCTAAATGTTAATGTGGTTGTCAGGAAGGAAAAACTGTTCCTCTATTCCCTCCTGCTTAGTAAAGGGAGTCCTGTGAATTACACTGACAAAAGACAAAGTAGCATGAAGAAAAAAATGTTCACATATGTGCATGTAGGAGCCAACAAAAAAGTAGCTGTCTTATTAAATATTTAAGGTTGGAGGCTTATCCATCTAACTTATTAGGGAAAAGGGAGGAGGGAGAAAAGGCTCTTGGGGAAGAACAAATAAGTTTCTTTAGAGAAGACAACCTGTTTTTTAGAAGAACAAACAGGCTATAAGAAAGTTTGTGTTAACCTTGGTTTATGCAGGGGTCACTGGTCATTTTCACAGCAATGAAACTCCCCAGAGGGGCATTTATGATAGCTGCCTTTCCCAGAAGTTGCTGCTCTTCCTGAAATAAAGGATGCTCCATGAAAGGTTCTTTCTGCATCCATTGAATCTCAAAAGTCTTCAGCTTAAAATAAGCTCTGTATGAACCCTGGGGTTCTGACTTGGATCCCTCATGGCAAAATAAAGTGGACGTCCATTGCTGTCTTTCTGGGACAAAATGAAGCCATGGTGGTTTTCTTCCCCTGTATATTACAGAATTCAACTGGGTAGTCACCTACTTAGCATTATTCAGCTCTGTCCTGTAGTAAAATTAATTTTTTTCCCTTCTGTACTTTCCTCACAAAATAATTTGAGGGATTTTCAGACTTCTTTCTATTTCTAAATAGTTTATATAACATAGGTGAAAGGGTAGAAATCAGGTAAAATTTGTGCTTTGTGGTACAAGTTGGAGAGGTTTTTATTATGAATTTATATTCTTTAAAAATTACACTTCGGATTTTTTAATAAATTTAATTTTTTTTAATTTTTTAATTTTTTATTAACATATAATGGATTATTAGCCCCAGGGGTATAGGTCTATGAATCGCCAGCTTTACAGATACCTTCCCCAATGTCCATAACCCAACCACCCTCTCCCTACCCCTGTTCCCCCGGGAACCCTCAGTTTGTTTTGTGAGATTAAGAGTCTCTTGTGGTTTGTCTCCCTCCGGATCCCATCTTGTTTCATTTATCCCTTTCCTACCCCTCAAACCCCCCATGTTGCCTCTCAACATCCTCATATCAGGGAGATCATAGATTTTTTAATAAATTTAATTTTTTAAAGATTTTATTTATTTGGGAGAGAGGAAGAGAAAGAGAGCATGAGCGGGGGGAGGGGCAGAAGGAGAAGGAGAAGCAGGCTCTCCTTGGAGCAGGGAGCTTGATGCGGGGCTCGATCCCAGGCCCCGGAGATCATGACCTGAGCTAAAGGCAGATGCTTAATGGACTGAGCCATGCAGGTGCCCCTAATAAATTTAGTTTTTTAGAACAGTTTTAGATTTAAAGAAAAATGGAGAAGATAGTAGAGTTCCTAAATATTTTTTCATTCTACATTGTATTATTAAAATATTGTCATCAAACATTTATATTATGACATAAATGTGCATATGTTGTATATGTTACTATGATAACACATATTCTATGGTATATGGTTATAATTAATGAGCCAGATACATTGTCATTAACTAAAAACTATATTCAGATTTCTTTAGTTTTTAATATAATGTCCTTTTTCTGTTCCAAGATCCTATGTTACATTTAGCTGGCATGTCTTTTTAAATTCCTTCTGGCTATAATAGTTTTTCCAACTTCACTGGTTTTTGAGGACTTGATTTTCAGGAGGACTGATCAAGTATTTTACATAAAGTGTTCAGCAATTGGGATGTATCTGGTATTTCTCATGGTTAGGTTGAAGTTAGGGGTTTGGAGAAGACTACAGAGGTGAAGTGTCTTTTTTATCACTGTGTATCAAGTGTACATCTTATCAACTTGATTTGTCACTATTGATGTTGACCTTGGTCATCTGGCTGAGGATATTCACCAGGTTTCTCTCCTGTCGGAGTTATTCTCCCCGCCCCAACCTTAAGCCATATTCTTTCCAACGAAGGTACTATGCCTAGAATAATTACCTTTCCTGAGTTTATTTCTTCTCCCATCAATTTTATTGCCATATATTTTTAAAATAGTTCCTGTGTCAAGCTTTGTAAATGTATGGCTGTAGGTATTTTAGTATTCTCTAGTGATTTCAAACGTCTTTTGCATCAGCTGTAGTAAACCCGTTTTTCCCCAAATGGATTATTTGTATATTTTCCCTTTCTATTGATCAGATTTATTGGAAAGGTGCACACGTTTTAGTTTTGTTCTAGGAATTAAACTTTTGTTCTGATGGTTATTACTTCTTTGCTTTAGCTCCTATCAACATCTGCTCTTTTACTTGGCATTTCTTTACTACAAGTTTACTACGCTCTTCCTTTAGTGTTCCGGACATGGACATCCAACTCATTTCGTCTTCATTCTTCCTGCTATCTAATGGCTGTATTTACAGTTATAAATTTCCCTCTCGGTATAACTTGGTGGTGTTCTACATTTGGTGGAGGGAATTTCGTTATTATTCACTGTCCACATTTTGTTGTGATTTCATTGTGATTTACATTTAAATAATGAATTTAATAGCTGTTGAGGTTTTTCCTTGTGACCCCATACGTGGTCTTTTTTTTTTTTTTTCCACATGTACTTGAAAATAATAGTGTCTGTTTGTTTACTTGGATTTTACCCTGCCTTTTTTGGATCCTTATGGATGTTGACCTCTTTATTTCTTTGCTCCGTATCTTTTGTCCTTTGTATTCTTTCAACTCTTTACTCTCTGATTTCTGGGAGAGATCCTCAATCTGATCTTTCAGTTTCCTAACTGGACTTCTGTATGCGTTCTCCTCTTGCACCAGACTATCATTTATTATTTATTTCAGACCTAGAAGCTTCAACTCATTCTTTTTTTATGACTGCTTGTTTTCTGCTTTCCAATCAGACAATCAGCATCTCCACTTGCTCTCTAATACTATAATAACTCTAATTCTTGTTCAGTGTGGTCCATTACTTTTTCCCTTTCTTACGTAGTGGGTGTACCTTCGGCTGTCTCATTATTTTTCCTGTGATGCCACATTTCCCTGGGATTATCCGTGACTGTCAACAGTCCTATCTCCCTAGGAGAACCTGCCAAACTCCAAGCCCTAGCTCCTGCCCTCAGTGTAGTGAGTGTACAGAGATTGTTGGAAGGGTTCTTTAGGGCTAAAAGCCCATTTTGATTTTTCCTCAACAGTTTCCAGTTTGTCTTGCACACACACTGTGACACTGATCTCAAGTGACTTTTCTGTGCCTCCCCTTAAGTACAGCTTGTCCCAAGAGCTGTCATCCTCTTGGGACTCCATCCTCTAAACCACAGCTCCTCAACCAAGAATGGTGTTGGGAAATGTGTGCAGGGAATTCAGGGGCTGCTGTGACGACACTGTTGTTAAAGCATTTGGGGCAAGGGGTTGGGAATATTAAACATGCTATAGGCATGGAGAAATCCCACACAATAAAGTACCATCTGGAAAAAAAATGACAATAGCCTCCCCATGGGTAGCAAGAGGGAAGGAGTTAAAGCTGAGGACTAATTCGCTCATTTGCACCTGAGGGTTTCTCCTCCCTGCCCTCAGGTTTCTCTAGCGGGGCTGGATGCTGCTACACTGCCTCCAGATAGCAATCAGTGTTCTAACCGCTGCAAGGAAATTTAAAGGACCCAGAATGCTTGCCTCCATCTTTTCCCTGTTCCTGACTACCAGCTTTCTCCTGCCCTGGCTTGGCTTCCTCCTCCTAAAGCCTAACCTCCAACAGGGACGTCAGAATCCATAATCTTGGACTTCCTCGGGATTTCTTACAGCTTTCACTAAGATCTAAATATACCAGCTTCTCCCTTCTGTGGCACACCTGGTGTTGAATCAAATGAAGGAACCAGCATCCTGTTAGTATTCTATCTTGGAACCTCAATCTAGAAGCATGGATTCTTAACAACATTGGAACAGAAAGGTACAGTGGATAGCTAATTTTAGCTGATTTTGAAAATTTGGAGCATCAAAAGTGGATTTACCCCCAGAAAATAAGATATACAAAGACATGTTAAAAAAAAAAAAAAAAAAAGCTGGGGCAGCTGGGTGGCTCTGACTCTTGATTTTGGCTCAGGTCATGATCTTGGGATGGTGGGATCAAGCCCCACATCAGTTTTCATGCTCAACATGAAGTCTGTGTGAGATTGTCTCTCCTTCCCTTCTCCCCATCCTTCCCGTGTTCTTTCTCCCTCTTGCTCAAAAAATAAATAAATCTAAAAAAAAAAAAATAGTGCAACATTTATAGATGAAAAACATACCAAGCGAGATGAAGAGCCTAGAACTCTACCATGTGTAGATGGCAACATGAAACAGTAGAAGTCATAGCACCTCTTCTGTATAGACAAATAAATCATTTGCTGAATTATTTGGTAGACAATATGGGGAAAATGAAACATTTCATGGAGAAATATATTATTTCTACCATTTGAGAAAGTTTTAAAAAATTTATAAAGATTTTATTTGAGAGAGAAAGAGCACCCACAAGCCAGGGTGAGCAGCAGAGGGTGAGGGGTGGGGAGCGGGGCAGAGGCAGAAGCAGGCTGTCCGCTGAGCAGAGAGCCCAACACAGGCTCATTTCCAGGACACTGGGATCATGACCTGAGCCAAAGACAGATGCTTAACTGACTGAGCCACCCAGGCGCTCGTAAGTTTTTTAATCTGAAATAATTTTATAAGTACAGAAAGGTTTTCAAAAACAGTATAGAGGGTTCTTCTATAGGCTTCAGCCAGCTTCACATATGAACATCTTGTATGATTATTGGACAGTGTACAGAACCAAGAAATTAACATTGGTGCGTTAGTGACTGTTACCTAAACTACAGACTTTATTTGAATGTCACAGTTTTTTCCACTAATGTCCTTTTTCTGTTCCAGAACCCAAGACATGATCCCACACTGAATTTAGTCATTACCTCCTTAATCTCTTCCAAACTCAGTTTTACACTGTTTCTCATGATCATAAATCTTTTTTTTTTTTTTTTTTAAGATTTTTTTTAGGGGCGTCTGGGTGGCTCCGTGGGTTAAAGCCTCTGCCTTCGACTCAGGTCATGATCTCAGGGTCCTGGGATCAAGCCCCATATCGGGCTCTCTGCTCAGCAGGGAGCTTGCCTACCCCCCCCACCCCGCCTGCCTCTCTGCCTACTTGTGTTCTCTGTCTATCAAATAAAAAAATAAAATTTTTAAAAAAAAAAAGATTTTATTTTATTTATTTTATTTATTTTATTTTTTTTAAAAGATTTTATTTATTTATTTGATAGAGATCACAAGTAGGCAGGGAGGCAGGCAGAGAGAGAAAAGGAAGCAGACTCTCCACGGAGCAGAGAACCGATGCGGAGCTGGATCCCAGGACCCTGAGATCATGACCTGAGTCGAAGGCAGAGGCTTTAACCCACTGAGCCACTCAGACGCCCCTAAATTGGGTATTTTATTATTAAACTGCTTCCTTGGAATGGCTTCCACCTTCTGCAGAATTCTCATTGACCTGCACTCGGAGCCATGATTTTCTTCCTTGATCTAAGCTCCTCTGCCTTTTGTTTTTCAGATTCTTTTTTTTTTTTTAAGTAATCATTCTGCCCAATGTGGGGCTCAAACTCATAACCCTGAGATCAAGAGTCTTATGCCTGGGGCACTTGGGTGGCTCAGTGGGTTAAAGCCTCTGCCTTCGGCTCGGGTCATGATCTCAGGGTCCTGGGATCAAGCCCCGCATTGGGCTCTCTGCTCAGCAGGGAGCCTGCTTCCTCCTCTCTCTCTGCCTGCCTCTCTGCCTACTTGTGGTCTCTGTCAAGTAAATAAATAAAATTTTAATTAAAAAAAAAAAGAGTCTTATGCTGTACCAACTAAGACAGGAAGGCACCATTGTTTTTCAAATTTCTTACAAATTCTGGTCTAATTAACGTATCTCATCCTATTTCTCAGAATACTTAGAAATTTTTAATCTTTTTTTCTTTTTCATTAGGTTTTCTAGTGGGAAATTGAGGCTATGTCTTTTGCCCTTCATCTTGAATCAGGTTTTCCTGCTTATTTTTTACCAAAGCATTTTTGCACAGAGTAATACTCTCTCACACTAAACATCACTTAAAATTTTCATGTGAAGTTGTAGCAATTAAAAAATACCTTATAATGCATTGTGATGGTTAAGACATTAATTACTATGATAACGTTCATATTCTCTAGGTCTTTACTCATTTTTTTAATCTAAGTAGCAACTACTGAGATAGTAGTTTTAAGTTCCTATAGCAACTACTGAGACCGATTTTAAGTTTCTAATTATTATTATGGATTTCTCTGTCCCTTTAATTCTGTCAAATTTTGTTTCACGTAAAATATATGTACGCGTAGGCACAATACACATTTATGGTGCTGTTTTCTGACAAATTGATTCTTACCACTCTTTGAAATGTCTATGTCTATGTCTGGTGACACACTTTGTCTTGTCTATTTTAACATTAATATTAGTTTTTTCATGCTTACAGGGCATGTTGTTTTCCATCTTTACTTTCAATGTATAGAAAACTTTATACTTAAACTACATTCTTGATAAACAGCAAATAGTTGGGTCTTGCTTTTTTATCTGTCTTAGAATGTCCAGTCAACTTACTGTTAATGAAATTATTGAATGGATGTAAGTCTACCCGTTTGCTGTTTGTTTTCTCTTTGGCCTCTCTGTTCCTCTTTTTGGATTGATTGAGATTTTTTTTTTTTAGAATTTCCTGTTAGTTTCTTTATTCTTTTTACAGCTATAAGTTTTTTTAACTAGTTCCTCTAGAGATTATAATGCATATTCTTTTATAGTTAGTATCATGCTACTTCGTGTGATCTGTAATAACCTTTCAAACATTTACTTCTATTTGCCAAGCCATTCTTTATGCCATCATTGTCATATTATTACAAAATTACAGTTCTTATTTTGAATAACCATGTATTTTAGAGAACTTAGGACACAAACATATAGTATTTTTTTTATTGACATATAGTGTATTATTTGCTTCGGGGTACAGGTCTGTGAATCATCAGGCTTACACAATTCACAGCACTCACCATAGCACATGCCCTCCCCAATGTCCATAGTATTTCGTATTTATCCATATAGTTACCATCTCTGGTGTTGTTCGTTCTCTCCTGAAGATCTGTGTTTCTATTTGTATAATCTCCCTTTCGCTTGAAGAACGGTAGATAGCGCCCCTCATAAAACAATCCGGTGCTGTTCTTTACTCCAAGTTTCAGCTTCTGTCCAGTGTCCATCTGCTTGTGGTGGCCACTTTCCAGCACTTGCAGAGATTTTTCTTTCTTTATGGTTTAGAGTTTATCATTGTTATCAGCAGGAGAATTGTTCTGGCAAACAATTTCATAGTGTATATTAAGACCTTTAACAGTGTTGGGACACCTAGGTGGCTCAGTGGGCTAAGCATCTGCCTTCGGCTCGGGTCATGATCCTGGGGTCCTGGGATGGAGTCCTGCATCAGGCTCCTTGCGGAAACTTGCTTCTCCCTCTCCCTGTCACTCCCTCTGCTTGTGCTCACGTGCGCATGCGCTCTCTCCCTCCTCTTACAAATAAATTAAAAAAAAAAAAAAAAAAAAGACCTTTGACAGTGTTCACCACATTGGACCAATAACCTGGATTGCAAAGATTTATAACAAAGGTTTATACTGACGTATAAGTAAGAGAAAAGTTGAAGGCAATAAATGTCCAAAAAGATGGACATATGTAAAATATTAAGCTGTATCCACGGGCTGGAATACTATGTGAGCCAGTGATATAAGATGAGGTTTCTTTTTTTTTTTTTTTTTTTTAAGATTTTATTTATTTGTCAGAGAGAGAGAGAGCAAGCGGACAAGCAGGCAGAGTGGCAGGCAGAGGCAGAGGGAGAAGCAGGCTCCCTGCCAAGCAAGGAGCCTGATGTGGGACTCGATCATAGGACCCTGGGATCGTAACCTGAGCCAAAGGCAGCTGCTTAACCGACTGAGCCACCCAGGTGTCCCATAAGGTGGGGTTTCTAACAACTGATTTTTAAAATATCAAAATTCATTGGTAATATGCAGTTTGTTCACAATCATGTGAAATGGCATGTAGAGAATGAAAGAAAAATCACCAAAATATTAACAGTGACATATCAATGGTTGGCCTATATAGTTTGGCGTTGTCTCATCTTTAATAATCAGTGTTATTTATTAGAAAATAAATATTTTTATAAACCTATGTTTATTATCTCCTAAGTTAACTAAAGCAATCTGAAAAATACTGATACATATCATAGAATGTTTAAGCAACATATAAAATATCAAATGGAAAAAATCAAATTTTACATAAAACCCCCATGCATCTTAAACACTTTCTTAGGGATTTTTTTAATGACTGAATTCTAGTTTTAAGATTAAGAAATAGGACAATAAACATTCATTGTGCGCTATGCAGTTAAAAAACATTTTCCACGTCTTCACAACTGCCCAGCAAATGTCTATTTTACCATCATCACTCTAGGAAAGAAGATCCTAGAACCCAAAATATATTAGCCAGTGAAAAATGGAGTTCCACCACCAAATTTAAGGAAAATTATTTTGCCCATGAAACATACACAAGGATAAAATCTCAGTATCATTTTATTTTTTTATGTCCCGTTATTCTATAAAAGATCAAAGTTGGCTAGCCTACCAAAAATCATATTACATAAAAACATTCTCTATGTTTATTGTATTCATTATCATTTCAGATATGGACTGTATTTAAGCTGCCCCTCTCCCTCCATCACTGGAACTTTATCATGAAGTCCTCAAGTCCTGAATTACCACTGCATCCAGTAGTTCATCAGCAGAGACTGAGCTAAGAATAAAGAGAATCATGGAGAAACTAGACCAGTTGATCCCACCCAGACCTTTCACCCACATGAGCACCAACACCAGTGCTGCACACGGCACAGCCACCATCCTCCAGCCTCAAGATGCCTACTGCAGGGGGGATCAGCTAGACATCCTGCTGGGGGTGAGGGACCAGTTGGGTCACAGGAAGGAATATGGCGGGCACTTCCAGAGGGCCAGGATGTCCTCCCCAGCCCTGAAGGCAGGTGCTTCTGGAAAGGTGACAGACTTCAACAACAGCACTTACCTTGTCAGTTTTACCCTCTTCCGGGAGGGCTGGGTCTCTCTGTCTGTCCTACTCATCCACCCCAGTGAAGGGGTGTTGGCTCTCTGGAGGGCAAGGAACCAAGGCTATGACAGGGTGACGTTCACGGGCCAGTTTGCCAGTGGCACCTCCCATGTCGATACTGATTGTGCCCCAGTTTTAAACTCCAACACTGAGCTCTGTGAGTACCTGGGTGCTCAAGACCAAGAAGCCTCCTACGGTGTGAGACCTCAGCACGTGTCCTGTGCTGCACTCACTCACACGCATTCCAAAAACACGGAGGTTTCTTATCTTAGCAGACAAGAAGGGAGCCTCTTCAAAAGGTAAATAATTATTTCTGGAGACTACCTGGGAAAATGTGGCAATGATTTAGCCTCCATGTTGATCCAAAGGAAAGAGCTCTGAATATATCAATTTTGGGACTCTATGAAGAGCCATTTTAGAAAAAAAAAAATCTGTGAATTCATTTTCATTTGGGGACAGTGTTTATGTTCCAGTAGTCCCCAGTCTTTTTGGATTTTTAACCCTTATCAGTGAAATAAAAAGATATGTAAACAAAATAAAAATTGAAAGGGAATGAGGAACATACATGTAAGTGCATGCTCGAATATATTCTTACTGTACTTCAATAAATTACCTTGCATCCCTTCTGGGTATCTGTACCCCTGGACTAATAAGCAAAGGAAGGGAAATTTAATCAATGGCCTGAAACTGTGGGTACAGTAGCCAATTATTAGCACTAAGAAATCACTGAAGCGATAAGTAATGTGGCTGTTAACGTTTCCTGATCTTTGGGGTCACTTGCAGATTAATTTTTGTATCTGTCTCTTTAAGGGCAAATGTGGGTGTAGAGATTATGGGAAACAATGCCCTTAATGTCTCCAAATGCAACAGTAAGTTCTCCCTGGGATGATGGGTGGTGCTTAGCACTAAACTCATTCATAGGGTTTCTTTCTTCTGGTGGACTTGTTCATTGTTATCTGCCCTATTGGTATCTCTGCACATCAGTCTTCTCCATGGTAAGCCAAGATATCAGTTACCCAAGTGAATAAATGTTTGGAATCACTAGGGTATCATAAACCTGTTTAAGTAACTATAATTCATCATTAATCTATTTATTGGGCAACAGATTACCTGCTCATTCAACATGATAACCTTCAACTGTCAAAACTCTCTATTTACACCTAGGTGTTTCCCTCACCACATCAGCACCATCATCTCCTTCCCACATCACGATAAGCCCAAAAATCACCATCTAGAGGTTTCTAACCTGCCATCTAAGAGTCTCTTATGTAGAGATATGTTTTTTTAATACTCAATTTAAGAGTTCTTATAAACGTGTATTGAATGTTGTCATATTCATTCTCTTCATCTATTAAGGTGATCATGTGATTTGTATCCTAATTTGCTAATACATGTATCACATTGATTTGCAGGTACTGAACCATCCTTGCATTCCTGAAATAAATCCCACTCGAGTGTGGTATATGATCTTTTTAATGTATTGTTGAATTTGGTTTGTCAATATTTTGTTAAGGTTTTTTTCATCTAAGTTCATCATGGATATTGACCTATAATTTTGTGTGTGTGATGTATTTGCCTAGTTTTGGTATCACGGTAGTGCTGGCCTTGCAAAATGAGTTTGGAAGCATTCTTTCTTTATAATTTTTTTAGAATAATTTGAGAAAACTAGGTATCAATTTTTTTTTTAAGATTTTATTCATTTATTTGATAGAGATCACAAGTAGGCTGAGAGACAGGCAGAGAGAGAGAGGAGGAAGCAGGCTCCCCGCTGAGCAGAGAGCCCGACTCGGGGCTCGATCCCAGGAGCCTGGGATCATGGCCTGAGCCGAAGGCAGAGGCTTTAACCCACTGAGCCACCCAGGTGCCCCTAGGTATCAACTTTTCTTTGGGTATTTATTAGAATTCACCTGTGAAGCTGTCTGGTTCTGGTCTTTTGCTTTTTGAAAAGTTTTGTGTTACTGATTCATTTTCAGTCCTTGTAATTGGTCTATTCAGATTTTCTATTTCTTTATAATTCAGAGTTGGGAAGCTATTCATTTCTTCTAGGTTTTCCAAATTTTTGGCCTGTAATTTTTTCATATAATCTCTTATGATATTTTACATATGTAGTATCATTTGTGATTTCTCTGTTTTCACTTTTTTTTAAGATTTTATTTATTTGAGAGATAGAGGGACAGAGCTAATGAATGAGGGGGAAGGGCAGATGAGAGGGAGAAGCAAGGCTTCCTGTAGAGCAGGGAGCCAGATGTGTGGCTCTATCTCAGGACCCTGGGATCATGACCTGAGCCAAAGGCAGACCCTTAACTGATTGTCACCAGGCACCCCTCCTTTTTCATTTCCAATTTTATTTGTGTTCTCTTATTTTCATTAATGAATCTGGATAGTGGTTAATTGATTCTGTTTACCTTTTCCAACAACCAGCTTTTAGTTCATTGATCTTTTCTATTTTTTTTTTTTTTTCATGTTCTCTTCCATTTATTTCCACTCTGATCTTTAGTAAGTCTTTTCTTCTTCTAACTTCAGGCTTTGTTCTTTTTCTCTAGTTTCTTTAGGTATAAAATTGGACTGTTTATTTGGACTTTTTTGGTTTATTTTTTGCTATAGTGCTACAAACTTTCTCTTAGAACTGTTTTTGCCATGTCCCATAGATTTGGGGGAGTTGTGGTTCTGTTTTCATTTGCCTCAAGGTTTTTTTTTTTTGTTTTTTTTTTTTTTTTTTTTTTTTCCTTTGATTTTTTTTAACCCATTAGTTGTTTAGTAACTTGCTGTTTGGTCTCCATGTGTTCATGGTTTTTCCAGTTCTTCTTGTAATTGATTCCTAGTTTCATACCATTGTGATTGGAAAAGATGCTTGGTAAGATTTCAGTCTTTTTGAATTTAATGAGACTTGTTTTGTGGCCTAACACGTGATCTATCCTGGAGAATGTTCCCTATGCACTTTAAAAATGTGTGTTCTGAAGGTTTTGAATGAAATTTTCTATAGATCTCTGTTAAGTCTATTTGATCTAATGTGTCATTTAAGGCCAGTGTTTCCTTATTAAAAGTATCTGGATGATGTAACCATTGACGGAAGCATGGAGTATTTAAGTCTTCTACTATTATTGTGCTACTGTCAATTTCCTCTTGTGTCTGTTAATATTTGTTTTATGTATTTAGGTGCTCCTATGTTGGGTTGCATAAATACTACAAACATTATATCCCCTGCTTGGATTTAGCCCTTTATCATTATGTGATGCCTTTCTCTGTTTTAAAGTCTATTTTGTCCTACACAAATATTGTGTACCAACTTTCTTTTTAATTTTCCTTTGCATGGAATATCTTGCTTTCCTTCACTGTCAGCCTGTGTGTCTTTAGATCTGAAATGAGTCTCTTGTAGGCAGCATACAGGTGGTCTTAGTTTTTTTTATCTGTTTTGCCACCTTATGTCTGTTTTTTTTCTTTCTGAGAAGTTTTAATTATAAATTTAATTTATTTCACATGAATATGCCTATTCAGATGTTTTGTTTCATCTTGTATCAATTTTGTAAGTTGTATTTTTCAAAGAATTTATCCATCTCCTCTAAATTTTGAAATTTGTTGGCATTCACTTTTATTGTAATATTGCCTTGTTACCCTTTTAATGTCTACAGAATCTTTAGTGATCCTTTTTCATTTCTAATATTGGTAACTTGTGCATTCTGTTCTCTTTCTTTCCTTTTGATTAGAGCATTTAGTCCACTTAATTATAGATAGGTATGTACTTAATGCTATTCTATTCATTGTTTTCTGGTTCTTTTTATGGTTCTTCTGTTCTTGTCTTCCCTTTTAATTTATTTTCTTGACAGTTATATTTGGGTTCCTTCCTCTTTTGTTTATCTATTATAGATTTTTGTTCATGGATACTATAAGGTTCATATATTCACATATATGTATTAAGCTGATAGTCAATTAAGTTTAAATGCATCATAAAACAGTACAATTTTATTCCCCCCACTGTCCATTTTTTTTGATGTCTTATTTTATGTCTTTTTATTTTGTGTAACCTTTAACTGTTTTTATGGTCATAGTTTAACCTATTTTTGTATTTAACTTTCATACTAGTTCTTTAAGAGGCTGATTTACTGCCTTTACTGCATAGTTGCCTTTATCAATTAATTTTTTCTTTTATATATATATTCTATATATTTATATACAAATATGTGTATTTCTCATTATAGCCCCTTTTCTGTTTAAAGAAAACCCTTTATAATTTCCAGAAGATTCCATTCCTCTGTTTCATCTAATCCACTGTTGGTTTACTCTAGTTTACTTTCATTTCAGTTTGTGTTCTTTAGTGCTGACTCATTTTTACATTTTCTAACTCTTTATTGAAGTTCTCCATTTGCCCATATTGGTCAGTCTCTTTATAACCATTACTTTGAACACTTTATTGGGTCAATTACTTATCTCTGTTTCATTTGGGTTTTTCTGAGGTTTTAGTGTTTTTTTTCATTTGGAACGTAATTCTTTGGTCCTCGTTTTGCTTGACTTTTTGTGGGTTTTGTTTTGTTTTGTTATCTTTTTTTTTTTAATTAAGCAGAATAGTTACCTCTCTCTGTCTTAAAAGAGTGGCCTTGTAGGAGCATTCTCTGTGTAAACTGTGTGCCTGGTGGTTTTGGCACCAGGTTGCCAAAACCTGGATGACTGGGGCTGGAGCAGGCATGGGCCTGGGGTCTCCAGGGTGTTACTGGGGTGGGGCCACCCTCATGAGATAGCTGGGCCTGGAGTGGGCATGGGCCAGGGGATCCTGCTATGTCCATCCTTGTGAGATGGCTGAGTCTGGAGTGGGTACATGCCGGTGGGTTCCTGGTGTCCACCATGCCAGGGCTGCCTGAGCCACCTTGGCAGGATAGCTGGGTCAGGCATGGCCTGGGGAAATCCTGTGGCCTGCCATTCTGGGGCCCTTTGGCAGGACAGATGGAGCTGGGGAGGGCACAAACTGTTGGGATGGGGTGGTGCCTTTGGGGGCAGTGGGAGCTGATGTGAACTAGAGGCCCGGGACTTCCTAGGGAAGCCCTAATAAACTAGCCAGAGCACCTGGACCCTGCTCCCATCCAGGCTATTACAGTGGAGGGGGAGTGCGCGCATGCACACACACACACACACACACACACACACACACACACACACAGTCCTTGTCCATCTCCAACCCCAAAAAGAGTTTCAGTAGTTCCACTACTTTTTTGGCAGATGATTCAGTGTGAATGAGTGGATTTCCTTTACTTAAACACTAGTTGCCTCTTAAATAGCTGTTTTTTACTATGCCCCAGGACAAGCAAGTCTGATATCCCTCCCTAATCGAGTTGCCGCATTGGAGGTAGGGCTCCTACAGTTATCCTCATCTTTTTATCCTCCTCTGTGTGGTCCCTCCGTCATTCATGGTGAAGTAGCTGTTCAACCAGCCCTCGGTTCTTCAGGAGGAATTGCTTTGTATGTGGTGTAGACTTGGTGTATCCATGGAAGGGGGTGAGTCCCGGGTCTGCCTACGCTGCCGTCCAGGACCCTCTGTTCAAAGAATTTCCAGTTTGACGATGTCACTTATGACGCTATGACAAAGTGTGACGAACTTGAGGGTCAAATGGGCTAAAATGATAAAATAATTGAGTTTTTTTTTTTTTAAAGATTTTATTTATTTATTTGACAGAGAGAGATCACAAGTAGACAGAGAGGCAGGCAGAGAGAGAGAGAGAGAGAGGGAAGCAGGCTCCCTGCCGAGCAGAGAGCCCGATGCGGGACTCGATCCCAGGACCCTGAGATCATGACCTGAGCCGAAGGCAGCGGCTTAACCCACTGAGCCACCCAGGCGCCCCAATAATTGAGTTTTTATTACCAAGCAAGAACTGACAACTTTACTTTCAGAGGAAGCCAAACAAATATTTAAATTTTACCCAGAGGGTTCTTTTTGGGGGAGCGAGGGGCAAAAAACATGTTCCCTATAATAAACTTTAACGAGCACTATTTAAAAAATTCATATCAGAAAGATTTTACTAAAAATAACTATTTATTAAGAGGATGATGCTTCAATAGGGTTTTTCACCTCCCTCGTGACCTATTAAGAGAATACTTAGAAATGATAGTAGGTTCTTAATAAGTACTGATGAATATGTGATATTTTAGATCTTCTCTTGCTGTTATTTTTGGCAGGAAAAACAGTTCCAATGAAAAAGAAATGCAAGTTTGGAATGGCATCCACAATCCCTGGGGGACATGTTTGGAAAGAGACATGGAATCCAGTCTCCTGTAGTTTGGCTCCAATCAAAATGAAAGAATGCCTAAGAGGAAAATTCATATATCTAATGGCCGATTCCACGACCCGCCAGTGGATGGAATATTTCAAAAACAGTATCGACAGTATGCCTCAGTCTAAGCTATTATATATATCCCTTTCAGAAATTTTACTTTTTGTTCCAAGGAAGCAGTAGGATATGCCTTCTTCATATTTCTTAACCACAACACACTGAAACTTTTCAACACATAATTGTCTTTCCTTTAAAAGAATACGTTCATCTAACTGGAATGGAAGATGTGCAGAGAAGGTTTATTCCATCCCTATCCCAATGCGTACCTCAGAATGTAGCCAGCATGCCCAGAAAGTCATTGACAGAGCTGAAAATAATATAAGATCTTATATTGTCCATTTTCTACAATCGGCATAATGCTTAAGGGTGTGGATTCTAGATCCAGAGTTCCTGGGGGCAAAATCTGGCTTCTGCAGGTCCTATCTGGGTAATCTTAGGCAAGTTACATAACTGTTGTCCCTCTAAGTTTCTTCATGTGTAAAATGGAGGTGAAAATAGTACACACCTGGCAAAATGAAGTAATATATACAATGCTTTTGGAATTGTTTGTTACATGGGTAAACCCTCTTTGGTGCAAGCTGTCGTCCCTATTGTCATTACATGAAAAGAGAGATTCCAGGAGCAAGGCGATGACTTGGCATCCATTAGAAATAATACTTACAAGCATGGGCTGTGTTATCTAACATACATAGACTGTGCCACTTAGAAGCGATGGCCTTTGACGTGTTACTTATTTTCTGTGCCTCATTTTCCTCATCCAGCTACACAATATTATCTGGTGGTTGTTATGAAGACTAAATGAGATAATGGTTATAAATACTTAACAAGCAAGGACCATAGACACATAGGGTCCAGTAAACAAGAGCTACTGCAGCTGTATCCCATGTCCAAGTTGGGGTTGGAATCCAGTGGCTAGAATCCTAGACCTACTCCACCTACTAAACAAAGGACGCACCAATAATAATTCAGAATTCACCGGTTGATCTTAGCACTCTTACCTGGCAAACTGTGACTTCCTGCTTACTGGGTCCTGGGTCCTGTCTGTCTTCCCTGGGGACAGTGCACCTTCTGTGGCTCTGTTATGGCCTGACATGCTGCCACTCTTGGGATCTCAAACTTAGAAGGTCAGCTGATCCTCCCAATAAAAAGGGAAAAACCGTAGGGAACTTGGCTCCAAGCAATAGGTGGAATTCGCAATAAAAGGTGGGGGGGAGGGGGGGAGTTGTAAACTGTGATCTCTGAACTCCTGCAGACCTCCGTTTTCTCGTTTGTAAAACTCAGGATCTGGGGGTAATCTTCAGCATCACCTTCCGTGTAACAGTGGATCTCTTAGGTTATGAAAAGCACAGAATTTAATGAATTACCCCCCTCTTTGTCTAACCTTTTAAACTGTAGCAAAATATCTGTTGCACGTTTTGTTAAAAGTTACATTTTATAGCAGGCTTTGGAAAAGGAAATTGAAGTAAATTAGAAGCAGAAAGAAGACCATGATATTGCCATTTTCCTTCCACTAATGCTCCGGTGTCTTTATTTTCAAACGCTGTGGGTGAAAACTTTACATATAGCCCTTTACTTCAAAGATGGTACTTGTTACAAAGCATTAATAATCCTTTTCTACATATTTTCCTCCGAAGTTCTGACTACAAAGCAGCTGGCCCCAGTAGTCTGATAAAGGCCTAATTTATAGGATGGAAAATGGAAGGACTTCATTTTATTCTATTCGTATTAGGCTCCTATTTTCATGGGTTCTAAGATTGGGTAGATAGTTTTCACAAGAATTGGGAGGAATTTCAAATCGAGGTGCAGCGTCTGTCACTAGCTGTGTAACCCTGAGCAGGTCATTTAATCTCTTGATCTTCTACAACATGACAATTGTGTGTGTTCTATGGATAAGAAGTTACATATGTTCTCTTGTAGAATCACTTAGAAGCAAACTGACTGGGGATGGTAAGCACTGACGTAACTTCATTGGAGCATGATGTAGTTAATTTTTTAGGTATTTTGTACATCTTGTGAGCTGTAGATTAAGCTTGAAGATAGAGAAAGTACTAATTGATGTCTTTGCCTTAAAAAAAACACACACAAGTAAACCTATTTCTCCACATACTCTGTTTCCCTAAGACTGGAATTTTATATACTTATATATATTCTATATATATAACTTAAGTTACGTCAGTGCTTACCATCCCCAGTCAATTTGCTTCTACATCGTTCTAAAAGGGAACTTCTTATATAACTTCTTATCCATGGAATACTTCGGATTATTCAAGTAAGTTTCAAAACTATTCCTTCATTTAAACCTGTAATCAGTCACGACTGACGTATTATAAACACCAAACCTTTTCTTCTGTCTTTATCATCTTTGTAACTTTTCACTTGTTTCATTTTGGGATCGTCTATTGGTCATCAGCACTGAAGTCCATGGATCTGCATGAATCTGGAAGACTTCAACACCAACTTGCTGTGGACTTGGACAAGAATATCAACATCCAGTGGCAAAAACATGGCTACCCTCTGATTGGACCATTGACCTATTCAGTGAAAGAAACTGAATATAGCTCAAGTCATTGACAGAACTGGAGGAGGAAAGAGCACTGTCATTGCTATTTCTCTGGGTCAGCATTTCAGACCCTTCCCCATTGATGTTTTTATCCAAAGGACCCTCAATATCTATAAGGCTGTTCAACGTCTTCTTCTGAGAAGCCAGACACTATGGTTATTATCAAGGCAGAAAACATCAGGGAGATGCACGGTGATGTGGAAAGATTCAGTGACTTTCATGGTTATGTCCAGTATCTTGCCATTAAGGATATATTTCAAGATCTCAATGTGGGCATCATCGATGCCTGGGATACAACAATTGCACGTGGCACAAATAATGTCCACCCACCGCAATCTGTAGTGAGAAATCAAGTTAGTATATTGTTAAACTATATTTGCCAGATGACCCCTCTGAAATCCATTCACTTAATTAAATCTGCTATCGTGTCAGTTCCTGTGTTTGGCTCTGAACTCCCAATTAGCATGAGATAATCTGCACTATGCCTAATCCATAAACTGCCGATTCAACCAAATTATTTCTAATTGGGCATCCACTTAAGAATAAAAATTAGAAATGCCCATGAAAAGGAGCTACACTTCTTGACCAGAGTCCCGCTACTCTTCACAAATGGCAAGTCAAGACACCTAATGGTTATAAGCGGTCTCTGACTCATGGAAATCCCGTGCAATGAAGTTATTTGAAAATATTTGGAGAAAGCCGTCCCATTTTCTTGTCTCTGCTGCTAAAGACAAGCTCAAGATGATTTCCAAGTGGCAAGAGAAATTCTGTAAGGCAATTCTTCATGGCTGCTGTCCTAAGGAGCAACAGAATTCTAGGCAAGGCCTCCTGGATACTGAAAACCTCTGACTTTTCTCTCCCTATAAGAACTCCCACTGGTAGGAGCTAATCAGATTTGATAGAATTTATCCTCCAGGAATAAAAGACAATATGTGTAAAGGCACAGTTCCCTAGGATTCAAGAAGTTGGTTACAACTTTGGGTAAAGCACATCAGCTCTCTCGGACTATTTCCCAAATTAAGGAGTCAGTGTAAGGCTTGTGATTTCTTCAGACCTTGCTCTGTGCAGATCTGTGTGCTGCAGGTCGTACTTCAGGTACTGCCTGGAGGGGTAAGACTTAGAACAGGTGCCTGGCAGGTAGGGTGCGAGTTCTGGCACACCATGTCAGCCAGGCCATCATCCAGGCTGACTTACAGGTGTGTTGGACTTGTCGGAGGGCTTTTGATTTGAAGAAAGCTCCACTGCTTGAAATATGGTGGAAAACCACAATGTAGATGATCAAAAACATTGGTTCCTATAATCTGCACATATAGGTTAATGTTTTAATCTCTTTCTCCTGGGTTCTAACAGACCTTCCAAAACTTGACCTAACAAGAATGACTGATAGAATTTCAGTTGAAAGATGCAGTATAATTACTATAAAACAATTTGGCTTCCTATTCTTAATTTTTCACTCTAAGCTATGCCCCAGATACCACGGGGCCTCTGACCTACTCTTGCCACTTCTAGGAAAGAACAATTATAATAGAAACATAATCCATTTATCCAGTTTCCTTTGGGTGAGGGATAATAAATTTTCTACGTATTTGCCCATGAACCACGGTTCACAGTTTAGTGTCCAGTAAACATTGAGATGGTCAAAAAATATTATCTAGCATGTGCCAGGAACTGATCTAGTCCTTAAGAGATAAAGTGATCAAAAGGCACATGAATTCTCTGCCATCAAGGAATTTACACTATAATGAAAAAAGATATAAATTAATTCCAACTTGCTAAAGTCATATCAATAAAGTATGTGACGTAATTAATGGACAGTGATGACGTGCTGGCGATGCAGGTGACGAGTAGAGAAGGCATCTCAGAGAGGAAGGCATTTCAAGGGAGATAGAACTCCTGGAAAGGAGGCATCCATGAGAGGAAGTAGAGACCGAAAAAATGACAATTGCAAAACCCCTGAGATATGACGGAGCTGGGTTTATTTAAGGAACAGGAGATCATGATGCCTGGAGTATTGTCAAACCAGGAAACATGGAGGGAGAAGATAGAGGGGAAGGAAGGGGCCAGGTTCTGTCTGGCCTTTGTAGCCTATGGCAAGGAGTTTGAATTTTATCCTAATTACCATGAGAAGGCAGTCGAGGAAGGAGGAATATAGAAGAAGCAGGAGAATAAGAAGAAAATGCAAGGGGGAGAGGGACTGGTTACCTGAACCTGGGCGTCACTGTAGACTCTTGTAGTTGCTAAGGTCAGAATGAAGGAGAGTTGTGAAACCACGGAAACGGGCAGAGCGTGTGTTGTTTTGTTATGAAGTGACTTTCCGTGACCACACTCTTCACCCGCGGTGAGAACGGGTCAGGGGTGCTGGAGGTCTTGCGAAAGGAGCAGATTTTTGAAAAAGACACACAGAGGTCTATAATTTTAGAACGGAGACCAAAAATTAGAATATGACCTAGAGTTTTTAAGAAAAGAAAAAGAAATAGGTTTGTAATGTATAAATCCTAAGAGAAAGGGTAGGCTCAGATAAAACATTCAGAATAGCTCTCAGAAGTTAGTACTTCTGGTTCTTCCAAAAACTGAATCATCAGAAACGCAGAGGTAACTGTCTCTATGTCTCTTGACATTCAAGGTGGTCCTTTCCCGTCTGAGATGATTGCCAAGTGTGCACACAGCAGATGCAAGCTGGTCTTCTAACAGGAGGAAAAGGGGAAAATGCCCGGCACCCAACCTTTCGGGAAGGATGGATTCTTACAGATCGATAAATATTCCTAAAAGAAACAAAGAAGTGAATATTTCCAAAGAAAACTATTACCAAGGAGCAAGGATGTTAAGAAATATTACTGAGAAGAAACTGAGGTGAGTGGTTTTGTTTTTGTTTTGTTTTGTTTTAATTAACATATAATGTATTATTTGTTCAGAGGTACAGGTCTGTGATTCATCGGTCTTACACAATTCACGGCAGAAGGTAAGTGTTTTTTAATTACACATATGAGGATCTTGCCAAGGAGAATGTTCAAAAACTGGTATATTCTAAGTACTATTTACTGCTGAATTATTACAGTTATAATCTCTTGCCATTGTATTACTCTGGACCCCGTTAGAAGGTAGGCACCACACTGTGAACTAAAGCAAGGATGTCTCATAGAATTATGAAACCCTTGATGAAGGAGTGATGGTAACATATAAGGGAACCATTTGATATCCTTAGGGTAGAGGGAGGGAATCCAGGGAAGGGGCCCTCCATGTTTGTGGGTCAGAGGGTCAGACCTTGCCCGTGAAAGTAGCAGAGGGTGAAGGTTGGCCCAGGCCACAGCTGGTGTGCAGTTGCTGGGCAAGCAAAAATCACCCCCTGTGGTGCGTGCAGGGTGCAGGTGGATTGGCACGCAGGGGCACGGGCAGGCAGAGCAGGCGGGGACCTGCACACGGGCAAATTCTGCAGATCTGCCAAGGAATGGATTGCCACGCAAACAGGAGGCCTTCATAGGCAGGAAGCTTTGTTTTCCTTGTTGCAAAGGCCCGGGAAGATCATCGCTAGTCCGAGAGGATGCTGCGAGGTCACCAAATGATGGACAGGTTCTGGGAACAAGACCCGGGAGCTCCACCAGACAGCCCCATCCCACCAACCCACCGCAGAGCCGCTGGAAATAGCAGCCTAAGTCCTTCCTCCGGTAATGTCCCTCCAGCGCCCTCTACTGAGAAAGTCTGACAATGTGCAGGAGAGATGCTTGAGAGAATCGGGTCCGTTATTGCAGAGAAGATACTGAGGGGTGAGTTTGTAGCTGAGAGACGGGAAGCTGGTAACTATTAAAGTCATCAGCCTACTCCTTTTTACTGGGTCGTTTCCTCGGGAAACAGGACCGTGCTCTAATAATACTTTACATCTTCAAAAAAGTGAACACAAGTTTTAAAACATATATATTAAATACTCTGTAGATCCCTGATATTACATTTCTCTTCAGTTACTGTCACACGTCTTCTCCCCTTGGAACAAAACCTTGACAATGGGATTCTGTATTCTCTGTCCTCACTGCCTCCTACTCTGTTTCAACACATTCCATGTTGACTTATGTTCTCCGCTGCTCCTGTTAAGGTCACCTTTGCGCTGTCAGATATAATGGCCACTTGTCTGTATTCATCCGAGTCAGCATCTTGGTGGCATTTAAGTGGAATACGCCTTCTTTTTCCAGACCCTCACTTTGTTTTGTGTGACATGACTCTTGCAGTGTTCTCCTCTTGCCTGCCTAGAGACTTCTTCCCCCTCTTCTTTGGCCATTCTACCTCTGCTACTTGGCCTCTACATTTGGAATACCCTGGGGTTCAAGCCTATTCACGTGTTTTGCGCTACAATCTCATTCCAGGTGATACCCACCCTTTGCTTTAAATCCCACCTATAGTTTCAGTGACTTCTAAATATTTGTCTCCAACTCTGATCTATAGCCAATTACCTACTTAACTCTCTATTTCCTGCCTAGGTGGTATCTCAAACTCACCATGCTGAAAGTAGAATTCTTGATTTACATTCCAAACACATTTGTCCCTAGTCTTCTCCAATTCAAAAAAAAAAAAAAAAAAAAAAAACGTTAGCAAGACCCAGACAGTAGCCAGAAGCTATCCTTTATTCATCCATTGCTCTCCTCACCAAGTCCTGCCGTATTTTGTTGTGTGTGGACAACCTGTCTCTTCTCTCCTTCCTGGTTCAGGCTATAGTGCCTCTCTCCTGCAGATAGGAAACAAAAGGGTCTTTCTGCTTAAAATCTTGAAACATCTGCAAAGCATTCTCTACCCAGCAGCCAGACTGATCTTTGGAAACTACAAATCGGATTATGTCACACCCTTAGATAGTGATCCCAGAGGGCTGGGATCAAGTCCCACATTAGGCTCCCTGCTCGGTGGGGAGTCTCCTTCTCTCTCTGCCCCTTACCCTACTCTCATGCTTTCTCTCCTGCCCTCTCACTCAAATAAATAAATAAAATCTTTAAAAAAGAAGTGATATTCCCTGCCATTGTGAAATATGTAATTTAGTTTCCATGTTACCTACCTAAATACTACCTTAGATAGGATCTTTCCATGGATTCTATAGCCTCAGGGCAAGTGTCTCCTAAGACCTGACCACACAATCTAGATGTAGGTCCCTCCATCTCTCTGTTAGTTAATTACTTTATTGTGCTCCCTTTTCATGTGACTAAGTGTGGAATCCAAGATGATCTCATTAAGTTGGTTTTACCTGTGATCTTTACCTGTTCTACTTAATGCTGGAGTCTAAGCTCCCTGACTGTGAGGGTCTCGAGTGGCCCACCAGGTATTTATCCACAACTACAGAATTCCCGGAATATATTGGTTCAATCTGTATGTGTTGAACAAAAGACTCCTCTTAGATTGGCCAGGGAGAAAGCTAGATGTAAGAGTGGCTAATGTCACCCATTTGGAATTACAGAGCTATGTATGTGTAGAATGGCATGGCCTGTAGTAAGGACGTGTT